TTTACTCTGTAATGAATCCGTTTCTTATGGGGAGAGAGAAGGACGGAGATAAATGGCAACGAAAACAGAGCTGGAATCGCGTAACTGTCAAACCGGTTTTGTAGAATTTCATTTAATCGCTCATCGGTACCGAAATTAAACCGGTTTATTGCTGTTCATGTCTCATACTGTAACGTCTACTGGTTTAAGTCGGTGCTGTAAACCGTTGTAGCCGTTAATTCTTTTTAACGGTCGACGGGAAAAATCTGGTGTTACTCCGTAAAATAAGCTCTCATGTAATCCTCACTAAGATGCTGACGTGGCCAACTGTGAATGGATGTTTCTTTATGCACAGATTCATTGAAGAATCTTTGCAAAATCAAAGCCGGCCACATTTTATAAATTTTTTTATCCCTTAAAAGAACTTCAAAAAATCAATAATGCAAACTTATATCGGATTTAAAACTATAGTGCAAAAATATACATCAAAGTAATAAATTTAAAACTAGTTGAACACCAAGCAATATTATATTACACACGCTCTAAGTATATAACATGAAAATTTTACTTTGTATAATCAATCAGTAAACATGAGAAGAATATCCCATATAGTTAATTCTTGGACGTAGATTTCGCTGATCGTTCATGGATTCGTTGAAATCAACGGCTTTGATCACCATGGCTTCTCGGCGACCGTCTTGCTCCTGAACTGCCCCGAACACGATCTCGTTCTTCTCTCGGTTCTCTTCGAACGACGCCGTATCGTTCACGTTTCGTTTCTGTTGGTTTTGGTATTGGTCATAATCTTGGTAATAAGACCGGTTTTGGTTTGTTCCTTGTGGTCTAAGGTAGGGTTTATCCGAAATTATACCTGATCTCGGTTCTAAAGCCGGTGGTCCATCTTCTTCCGGTATAGCAAAGCTCTCTTGTACCGGCCACTGGTTCGGTTCTTGCTGATGATGATATTGGTAGTTTTGTGGAATTCCATTTCTTGAACCGGTCATCATCTCGGAAACAGAAGAACCAGTTTTCACCACTAGCTTTCCAAGCGAACCGAGAAATCCTTCTTCTTTTTCTGGTTCATGTTGAGGTGGTATTAATGGCTGTCGAACCGGTCTTGGATAACGTTGGTATGGAGCCATTGTCATGTTCTGTTTTGCTACATGCCTCTTATTATCCTGAAAAACAGAACAATGATGCTAATTGATTTTCTATACCGGTTT